TAAACTTGAACCACTGGCTGTCTCCCCACTATAAAAAAAGGTGTGATTTTCAGCAGCAATGAAAATGACCATCACCAAGAGACAGACATTTAAAATCCTTACAGGGATCCACTTTCCTGTACCCTGAGCTTTATTTCTTTTTGCAAAGTTGAAAGCCACACCAAATGGCCAGCCTGTTGTTTTATTCAGAAGGATTCTTCTTCCAAAGACAGAATTGGTTTCTGTTTCATCATCCTCCACGTTGGTATTTTATTGTCATGAATTATTCGAGATTAGTAATGAAATGTGGATCACAATGTTCAGAGTTCTTCGCAGGGGGTGTCTGCTCTCCACTGTTATTTGATTCTCAACAGCATTGTTCTCACTTTATTAAAAAAATATTCATTGTCGCTTCTAATTTACACAGAGTCACAGGTGATCTAATGAATATTCCCTCCATTTTCTGGTAGCCGCATTTATATTTGCTGTATAATTTTGGGCAAGTGCAGGACTCACAGTCCTACTCAAGTTAATATGTATTGTTCTGGTGTCCTACTAGAAACTTCAGGTATCAGGTGATACATCAAATATTTCGTTTCCCTCTTTCATTGCCATCTTATGCAATCTCAGTTCTCGCCTCATCTTCCGCCACAATAAATTTGCTAATTGACATAAATGACTGTTTTGCTTGAGCACAACTTCAGTGTTTGGCCCTTAGCTTCTACGAGAGCAGCGGTGATGCCCAGAGCAGATGCAACGCTCAAGTGCTTCCTTAGATTATTTGAGGCATCTGTACAGAAAGAGTTTGCCTGCGTGACTCATGACTAAAACTGTGTTTAAGGAAGGAAGGACAGAGGGAGGTCTACCCAGCACAATTGAGAAGAAAATCTGCAGAATCATCATCATAACTATCCTGCAAACTTAGATTTCTCACTAATCCCATCTGGCCTGATCCAAAGGCCATTGGATTTTGGATGTGGACCAATGTGCAGACGCCTTTGCCTGTCCAAATCCCGTGCAGAATAAAAAGTTGGCTCTCTTTATTGGCAAAGGACTTAGCAATAGGAAGAAGTTCAGTCCAAATCCTTTCTCCATGCATGGCTGTTCCAAGAGCTCCTAATTCACAAGGGCTCAACCTTGACCCTACATCCTCCTGCCTCTACTGCAGGATCATCTGGCTTTCCATCAGCATGATGGTAATCAGTAACTCACATGAATAAGTCACTGAGCAGCTGAAGCAAGATGTTAAAAAAGAGGATCTCCTCTCTGCTTTGATAGCCAGTTATTAACTAATTGGCGTGGCAGTACTGGGAAGGCTGTAGGTGGTTCTGTAACCCATCATGCCAAAATGTGAAGAGTAGATAATTTTTATTTCATTATGCTCTTGTTCTGCACAGTCTTCAATATTGTCAGAGTGCTGTATGAACTTTAACCAATTAATGAAACATGAACTGCTTATTAGGTGACCCAAAAGGTCTCTCCCCTACGATCTATGAATAACAAATCAAAATCAACATGCTGCTGGTAAATGCATATGCATGAAATCTTTTAAGACATCATGGGTAAAATAGCTAATAATAAACCTCACAGCATTCTTGAGAGACCAAAACAGGAAGGGAAAAGAAGCCAGCAAAAATAAACCAGTCTTCTGCAAATCACTGCCTAGGCAACTTAGCATCAGCTAAATGATCAATAGGTCACCATTATGTATGATATTTACATCTGATCTGAATTACTGCATTGCTGTGCTGAAATGTCCAACAAGGCTTGTATCAGCTAGCACTTCCTTCATTAAAATCTGCCTTCATATAAAATTCACCTTGATTTATGAGTTTGCATTCAGTGCTGTACATTTGAATGTAACACTGCCAAACTTTCTACTGTGTTCACCTGCTGGTTGGAGAGCAGAGATATTTCAAGATGAAAACAAACTACAGACAGTTGCAGAAGGCTTATTATTATCAAAGAATGGAAAATAATAGACTTGTGCATATGCTCAGCCTTCTGCTAACATCATGTCACTGTGCATTACCATTTTCTGTTACTGAAAAGTAGTCTACACACCATGTATTTCCTTTATCATGGATTTATTAACTCTTACACACACACACACACACACACCCAGACACAAATGTACAATGATTCTTTTGCTTTCATTACCTATAAAATGTTGGGAGCAGTTTTCTTGGTATCTGCTGAATAGAAACTTACTTGGGTTTAGAATCTGGAATTTCAGGTGGTTTCACTTTCTTTCATACATACACATTTTAAATTCAGATGGGCCCATATCCAAGCTCAGTCCAACCCTCATTTTCCAGAAGGTGAATTTTAGCTCCTCCATCATTTGAATGTTAATTGTGCAGCATCACAATAAAACCACACATGCTCCTTGAAGGCATGAAAAACTCCCTCCTGACCCTTAGAAAAATCTGCCAGTTATTCCTAAATATAAAGCTGGCTAATAACAAGTTCTGGAAGTAATTACACAGCACAGAGCACACGGAGCCTTCCTCTTACTGCATTAACACTAGATTCTTCAAGTGAACGCTGAGAAGTGGCAAATTTGTAGTATTAAATGAGACATTTTCAGGCAAGAGTTTAAGAGAGGAGGGACAACAGGGAAGATGAACATAAGGAAATATTCAACAGGAATAGAGAAAAGGGGCTTCATTGATAAACACATTTTACCCTTTCTGTAAATCTCTTTGCCTCATTCACCGTGCGGAAAGAGTATGACTTTGAGTTCTTCTTAGCAAGTAGCCCCTTGCTCCTAAACATTTAGTTTTGGTCTGTCAAATGACTGTAGATTTATGCACTTGAACTCTTTCACTTCCTAACGTTCTATAAATAAGCCCCATCTGGTCTATCTCTCCTTGTGTCCAAGTCCCTTCTCCCCCCAGCCTAACTCATACAGTCCCAGCTAGCTAATGCCTTCCTTTAAATAAACTAGACTTTTCAAAATTTGATCTAATGCCTAGGGTCTTTATGTCCCTCGAAAGAAGACTCTAACAGCTGCTTACTGTTCCTACACACTAGATCAAGTATTCAGACATGGATCTATCAAAGAGGTCAACTCCCTCCCGATACTACATTAACTAATCTGCTGCTATTTTAAACCTCTCTTAGCTTTATTATTACTTCTACTCCACTGCACCACTCGGCATAAGACATATTGCGTTTTGTAGTCCATTTACCCAATTGATCAAGATTGTTCTGCAAACAACTTCATCCTTCTAAACTTTAAGCATTCTGCCTATTTAGCATAGCTGTGATAGCACGATATAAATCGTGAAGAAAATGCTAATGCAAAGCCAACCCTGTAACTACCTGCTTTTGGCCACAAAAATAAATTTGTCTCTATTCTTCATCGTTTGCTATGTAAGAAATGGGGGGCTACTCTTGCTCATCTCTCTATTCCTGCAAGCTTTTCTCATCTGGGTCTTCCTATTGACTTTACTACAACTACTCACATAACTGAAAGGATTACTCTCATAGTTTGAAGCTTCCAGGATCAGGTCCTAGTTCTTTACCTGTCTTAATAATTTATTACCTAACCCATATATGCAGAGTGTGTAGAATAATACATCCTGTGAAACTTTGTTAAAAGCCTCTGAAAATCCCAGTATGTCTGCTGCTTCCCTCCTATCAAGATCAATATTTATTTAATTTAAAAAAGGAATCCAATTTGCTTGACATGATTTACTTTCCACAAATCCATGCAGACTCGCATTATGATGCTGCACCCTTATTAAACTGTATGCAACTGTAGCCTTATGCTGCTAGGAAATGTATTTATAGGCAGCAGAATCCTCTGAGGGGCTGCGATGGCCAACATAAGGAATTCAGCACATGCTTATCGCCAAACTGGTCTGTTATTTTCCATCTGAAACTTTTCCTTTAGAAGACCAAAACAATATCGACTCTTCAAATGATTTGATGCAAGCTCTTAGTTCTGATGCGTATTCACATTGCAAATTATGGCCAAGTATCAGGAGCCATCTTGTGCCCAGCATTATAAAATCCCTACGTAGAAACAGTCCCCAACACCCAGGGAGTTGAGACTATGGCAAAGGTCCCACCATTGATCTTATTGTTAGGTCTCAGTCAGAAGCCAGGCCAGATCAGCAGAAACAGACAATCAAAATGTCAACATCACATAGCTATACGAAGGAACAAGCAGCTGCAGGGTTTCCTTCTGTTTTGTGTTCATGTCCCAAATAGTGCTCCACACTGTTCAAGTGACCTTAGGCAGACTGTTCCTCCCATGGTGACATAAGCCCCTTCACCCATCCCACTGCTCACTTCTCTAATCCCACGCTTTGCCTGGAGACTGATGCTCAAATACAACGATGCGCTACTGTCTCAGTGTATTGTCTCTTGCACCTTTAGCCCTATCTGCTCAGATAATGGGGGGCGTTCTCTTTAGTCAGCAGACATGCCAACAGAGTATGCCACTTCAACACTCATCATCTCCTAAGGCTTCAGCTCGGAATTCTGCTGCTATCATTGAATTCTGCATGGCTGCCTGGGGTTGGTTCTGTCCAGTACTGACAGAAGGGGTAGAACCCTCTCTGCTTTCTTGTTCTCTTCAATTTGTCAGTTCCCAAAGCATTTCCAGAATCTCATCCTACCAATACGCATTTTCCCAACTATTTGTCTAATAAAGTTTCCATTTTTATTCTTCCTCCCCTCCGTTTCCTCGTACCACGCACTAACAATGCACTGAACTGAGCTCTTACTGATTTCTTAGAGAACAATAGTCAGAATGGGCTAGAGTATCTTGGTATGTACTTGCCAGACTGGCATTCATCAGAACTGTGAAACAGAACAAAATCCCATTGCAGTAATGGGACTTTTTAACCCATTTGTGACAGTATAGCTAAATGCTGCCTCAACGCCCCATGTAATGCCAACAGCTGGACACAGAAATACACACCTACCCAATTCCAACTATGACATAAATACAGAATTTGTTTAGGTAGTATCAAGCTGTTTGTGGTATTTCTCATCAAGTACCCTACCTTGAACTCCATAGGGGTGTACTTCTCGTTCTTGGGGGTTGTGTTGCCCTTGTAATGGAGATGGTTGGGAGTGGTTGGGTGGATAACAGTTGACTCCTGGGACTGCCTCTGACAGCGCTGGCAGTACACGTAAATCACAAACGTTAAGAGGCTAGAGCCGAAGAAACAGGAGACCCCAGTGGCAATCAGATGGATGAGACTAAAACCTGCAAGGAAAATGACAAGAGATGCTATTTTTAAAGAACAGCCCTTTTCCCTCTCCCGACAAGACCACAGGTGCAAATCAGAGCTATGACATCTCGGGATCAACATTAATAAGCTGTTGAAGCCAGAGTCTTACGTTCTAACATAAACCGACATAATCTCCCTGCAAATCGGTCTTCCCACTGCAGCTCTGCCTTGTGCAGTTTAACAGGTTCATGCATTGTTTTCTCAAAGCTCCCTCCCTGTCTCTCCTCTCTCCCCTCTATTGATATTGAAACTAAACATTATGTTAAGCTGACAGCTAAAGAAATGAGCCGTACAAACAATGCACATTAATGGATTCCAAAGCATGTGCGTGTCATGGAAATAAGGGGATAAAAATGCTCAGTGTTTCTCTGAAGGGGAAGGAAGGGAGGGGAAAGCCCTTTTTGTTGGCTGCCCAAAATGCCTATGGGACTGTGTATGGGGTGGGGGAGATCGACATTCCTCCCCTGTGTAATCCAAGTGTGCTCAGCATTCTTGCTTATTCGTGGGGCATCATTGTCTTGGCCATGTCTGCACTACCTCTGCGGTGTATTTGTACCGCTAACAGTGAAACAGGGGTCTTCAGGGGAATGGGAAAGAAAAGGTGGAAAAAGGAAAGGGGGAATGCTTGAAAAAACACTTCTTTGTTGGCTTTCTCCACAAACTGCAAAGATAGGAAGCCAGTTGCAGGCAGGTGCCGGCGGGGTAGCTACAGCGCAAATATTTCAAACAGAAAAGCTCTTGGACTATAAAAGCCTCCTACAGAGATCTCTCCACGTGGGATTGCAGCAGCACCCTCCAAGCACAGCACTGACCTCTGAAAGGAGCTGTTGTTGTGCATCCCCCACGCTGGGAGGTACCTAACTTGCAACTCCGGCTGGTGGGGGGAAGACAAAGTCAAACAGTACTCCTCATTCCTCCCTCACCTCAGAGAGTCTCAAACCGCAGGGTAAAACCAACCACCAACAGATCTCCACTGACAACAGAACAAACAGTAGTGACCTTTAGAGCCACCAAGTTAATGAAGCAACCAGAAGCAATCTTGGGTGGCAAAACTTTATGACCCTGTTGTCTTTTGCTATGTGCAGGGGGGGCATCTACAGAAAAAGGATCAGTAACGATGACTCCAAATGCTACTGCCTTTCCTCTGCCTCGGGTCTGTCGTCTTTCAAAGAGGAGTAACAGGGGCTGTAGTGCCTGGGGGGAATCCCTGACTGCTTCCCCCAGGGCAGCTGTCCCAGGGGACAGGCACATTGGCTCGGTGGCAACTGCAGCGGTAAAATTCCTGTAATACTTAAAAAGCCAATTCATTTGGACAGACTGCTGTATTGACTTGACTGTGTGCAGAGAAACGGAAGGGACTACTCAGAGAGTGGCTTTAAATGAGATTCATTCTTAGTCTGATCACAGCGTGCATTTTTTTGGTGCCATCTTACATTTTAACTGATATGCTTTTCAAATAGAGAATTCTGCCCATTAGTCTACTGCTCTCCTCTAATCTTTAGTTAAAAAATATCCTCCTGAGTTTAAAAAGAACAAAACCAATAGAGTTCTACAGCAAAGTAATGCACTTCAATCATAATTACAGTAAGGAACATACAGAATTTATTAGACTGACGAGCTACATTTATTTTTTAAACCACACTATAAAATTCTATTGCAAGATTACCACTTTCTATTGTGTTTTGGATGACAGTCCAAAAAACCAGCAGAAAGATGATAATTTGCTACTAAACGTTACAAGACTTTTCCAAAGACATTTCCTTTCTAAAAACCTCCACGTGCTTTACATCACTCATGAGAGCTAAAACACAAAATATGCAACTATGCTCAGCAAAGCCACACAACACTCTGTCACATTCTCCTCCTGTCCAGCTTTGAAACCTTTGAAGGTTTCATTTCACTGCTACATTTACCAATTCACTACAATAGGAAATCCTTTCTAAAACATAAAGCTCTTACATTTCCCCCTCACCTTTGAAAGACTCATCTGATTTTTCAGGTGACTTTTAGCCATATCTTAGGGAAAAAACAAATGATTTTATTTGCAGCATGTGAGACCTCAGGGGGAAGCTTTCTGGTTCATCACTTTGAAAATATGGATTTTCTGAGATGCATCAACAGAATTTCTATTGATTGGCTTCTTTGCCAAATATTGTAGAACACTAAGTAATAAATAATATTAGCTATGGTAAAATATAGTTTGCAACAGCAAATACAGTGGTGGTGGTAAAAGAAGGAAATGTGGATAGAGTGCACAACAGCAGAGTGCAAGCCCTAACAAGGAGTCCTGGAACCGACGTAGATACGTTCCATCATCTGAGGGAGAAGGAGAGACACAGAAAGCCAACTGTGACATTGCAGGTGCTGAAATCTTAATTCCATTGATTGCCCCACAGTCACAAACTGAGAAGCCACGTTTCTGTGCCACAGGTGGTGTGCCTTTTTTTTGCCACAATCTCCACAGGGAGAAGAAATTTTGGCAGCCTACAGATCATCTGGATTTCAGGAACGCAGGGATGTGACACTAGCAGGGATTGACATGGTCATTAGTGTGAAACTAGCATTTTAAAATGTCAAAGGAACCTGCCATTTTCTTCAGTGTGCATTTTTACCATAGGGGCTCCTATGGCAGTGGAAAAGTGACACTAATGACTGGATCTTTCCAAGTTACATGCAGAAAGGAGACACAACTTCTGTGAGAGGTGAGGACTTGAATGAAAGGAAGTGCTTGGAGGACAAGTATAAACTCTAATCTCATCCTATATCAGCAAAGGACATGTCTAAGAGACCCTGTTCACTGAAATCCTTATGTTATTTAAAAAAACCTGCCTCCAAACAGCTGGAGGGTTACAGTGGTGGAATGAGGAATATCCCTTCCTTTTTCCTGAACCATTTACCCTGTGGGTAAAGAGAGACAAGCAATGTGCTCCCCGGTAATTAACGACCCTCAGTGGCCAACCCAAACCCCCAAATAAATAAAAATCTCGGAAGTGACAAATGGACATGCGATACATTCCTCCAGTCTCACTCAGACAGCAAGACTCCAGTGGAATTAAGGCTATCAGTGGGATATGAGCTGTACAGATTAATGGTTTGGTTGATACTGCACAGGGAGAAAAGAAGCCAGGTTAAGATAAAAATAAGATATATAGTTAGTGGTACCCTACCTCCACAGTTCGTGCTCTCATCAATGCTGGAGGCTGGCAGGATCACTAAACAAAGAGAAGAAGATTGGAGAAAGTTGTCATTTTGCCATCACTTTACTTCTTTAAGTAATTAAACCCCCTGTGCTCTAGACACGAGAAGCTGCTCACATGTTCTGCAGCAATCTGAGAGTCTCTCTAAATTGAATTATAAGCTCAGAGTGTGAAACACATGCAACAAAACCTCTCCAAAGACCTGACAGTTCCAGTACTGTTACTTGATCACTGTTGAGCTTATTTGATTTAGGGGAAAGAAGATAGCTGAGAAACCATGAAAAAGAGTACCATTGCCTAGACATCTCAGATTTTTAAGTCAGGGCACTGTCATCCAGAAAAGAACGTGTGGAAAGGGGTTATTCAGTCTAGACCCAGATAAAATATTTGCCTGAGAGATTAAATTTCCACAAAATATAGGGTGGAAGATGTTGATGACCATCTGTCTGTCAACAGTGTCACTCTGTTAGACCTTTGATTAATCTCCCCACTTCACACACCAAGTTTCTCCATCTGCCTCATCTTATTTCTTCGCTCTTTTGGGATGCTTCTTTTGATACCTGAACTCAAGGACATTCAGTTGCCCATATCCATACTGAGAAGAGAAATAATTTTTATAATGCAGCCTGAGATGAACTGTGCAAGCTTAAAAGCTTCAACTCAGGTGAAGCAATAACAATTATTTATTACAGATCTAGGTAATTCTGTTTTAAAGAAAAGCTAAGCTCCCTTAAAGGAACACCAGTTACCCTGTACCTGCCACAAGGGAGTTTAGAACATGTTTGTTTGCTTGTTTTTCTAGAAGCATCCAAACCCAATTTATAGTAATGAAAATCTCAGCCTAGCTTGACAGACTGAGTACGAGCTGCTCTCCTGAACTGGCCTACCCTCTCCCTCCTTGATGACACAGTACATACCAGGAATTTCATTATACAGGCAATCTTGGTACTGCGTGCTGTTTCCGACACACTGAGAAGAGTCTGGGCTGTGTACCTCGCAGTAACGGCTGCGATATTGGATGCCCTCTTCATTACACAAGCTCCACTCTGACCACTCTGACCAGCCACCTGAAATCCAAGATCAGGAAAACACACAGACAATGTCACTGAGAAAGAAAAGGATCCCTTGTAGACACCAAACTTCTCCCATGCTGAAGGATGTCTAGATCCTGGCCTGGGCCTCTCTCACACATGTAATCCAAGGGCCTTCAGTGGATTTAATTTTCTCAACACAAATAACAGTGCGAGCATCATACCCTACTTGTCAGGTTGTAGTTTTCTTAACATGGACTGAACCAACCCTTGGTGGAGCCCTGCACAGCACAGAGTTGTCTTGAAAACTCCTATATCAGCTCTCTGGTTAAAGACAAACAAGGAGCTGGATTGGGGCAATGTTGCACCAGGACCACTTCAAGTTTTGAGGTGGCCTCCCAGGGATACCTCAAGCAGCCAGCACAAATTACAGCAGTTAGAGAGTTTTGCTGAGGTTTCTAAGGGCAGGAGTTGGCCTGCACTGGATCAGAAATACACAAAGGTGGTTCAAAACCAGCACAGATCTAAACTGTGTCCTCTGAGTTGTAGCACATGCTCATCTGCCTGTCTATATAAGAAAAAGGAAAGACTGTCCCTTCCATAAATGTATGGATTGATGCTTCATGACTGCTTTTGTTTGCCTTGTAAGCTTCCACATTGAAGAACCAAGCTTTTTCAATTGCTTCAGCCATTAACAAGATTTTGCCTGTCTGGCACCAGAATGCCAGAGCATGAGCTAGTGAACAGGTAAAGAGAAAGGTGATGCATTGTAGTTGAACACTGGGATGTCTCCTTTTTCCCTGGTTCAACAGACATTTACTGAATGGACAGAAAACCTTCTAACTGGTGGTGTTTCTGATTTCTTTTTAAAACATTTTGCAGATGTGCCTTGCTCCCACCACCACCCAAGCCAGCTGGAGCAGGAATGAGAACTGGCTACCTTCACATGGGTGCGTGTTGCAAAGGGCCTCCTCGGTGTGCAGACCAATGCAGATATCCTCTCCACTAGACGGAGCTGGATTGGTGCAAGTCCGTGTGCGCTGGTAGTGTCCTCCTCCACAGGTTGCTGAGCAGTGAGACCAAGGAGTCCAGCAAGACCATGAGCCTTTCACTGAAGGACATTGAAAAGCAAGGAGAGAGAGGTGGATGCTGTTGGTTACTCCTCTCACTGTGACAAAGCTGGACCGCCCCAGTATCTCACCTTCCAGATCCACCCTGCCCAGACTAGCTAGCAGCTTCCTGCACCCCAGGACATCTGGGCCTGACAACAAGAGCTTCATATCAAGAGAGGGTATGAACGTGCTGCACTCTGCGGATGCAGAATGAAGTCTATGCACATAAAGACTTTGCATCATAAAGTGCCAAAATAGAAACTGTTCTTGAGGGTAGTCACTGAAATTTCTATTCTATTCTATTCTATTCTATTCTATTCTATTCTATTCTATTCTATTCTATTCCACTCTATTCCACACCTTTTTATAAAACAGCGTTGTTGTTATTATTATATTATCTCCTGATGCTTCACCTACAGTACCAGCAGATTTACTTGAGAAAAAAGTGATGTACAACCTAAATGGAGCTTATATGGCTATAGTCCTCTAGCTCTAACCTTCAGGAAACAGAAACTCAGAGACTTTATTTATTGTCCCTGCTCCTTACGGGGGGGGGGAATTGGACTAGATGACCTTTAAAGGGCTCTTCCAACCCAAACCATTCTATGATTCTATGATCTGAACACAGCCCCATAACAGGTTAATAATAAAACTAAGGAGGGACTTAAGATCCCTGATTCTCAACGCCCCCTTGTCAGGCTACTAGACTGCCTGATTTGCAGGTCCACATGCCATTAATTCAGAAGATTGCACCTGATGACTTAGTGCAAGATAAACCCAGGATTTGTGTATACACATTGAGAGAGGCAGGGAAGGAAGGAGACACAGAGAAATAGTAATCATGCACTCAGAACAGATTGTAAAACATCATAGTGTCCAAGGGGAGCAAACAGCACAGAAGAAGGGCACAGACATTAGTGAAAAGCCACTGAGCTTCCAAAATAGTACTAATAGCTGCCTTTATAGTGCTAGAGTTATTTTCTTTTTATAGGCCATAGAGTGCAATATTTGACACTGCTGCTACGCTCTCGCTGCACATTCTGATCATATCTGCATTGGAATTTTATCTTTGTATTGAATTTTAAAATCATAAAACTACTATTATAATATAGCATTTTCAAGTGTAGGCCACAAACTATATTGCCAGAGGTAGATAATTGCTAGAACTGCAAAGAGGCAAGGTAATTTGTGTAAGATCACTTAAATTTAGTTTAGATGATAGTTATTACAGAGCAAGGAGAAGGACAAGTGAGAAAGAATACAGTAGTCAATGGTCTATTATTACTATTCTGGACCAGGAGTGCAACATAAACATGAGGACAAACTCGAAAACCAGGAAACCAGGCAAGAATACTCCCTGCTGGCTGTGCAGGAAATGGTAACTGATGTCAAGAGTAGATGCCCATCGCAAGAACAATACGTAAGCAGGAGAGGGGGAAGAAACAAGTGTTCACAAGAAGAACCGCCACATCAAGCATCTCTACACAGTATTATGCCACATTTATTAAGCCTGTCTCCTCATCAAGGTGCAGATACACCATGATGTCCTCCACTGGATGGAGCATCAAACCTTCTTGAAGCAAAAAATTGCTAGACAAGCCACAATACTACTTCCTCTAGAGGATGTGGCTGTGTTACCCTCTGAGCCTAGGTGAAACATAAGTCATAGCACTAAAGATCACATACATGGGTCATTACAATAGCTTTTTAAAAAATTAAGGAAAAATCCCCCAAATAATAATAATTAAAAAGCAGCTTGGAAATACTTAATTTTTTTGTGGCGCTACTGTTAAGATGGGGAAGAATTTCATGCAGGAAGGTGATCATGGTTACCTGGGCACGGATGTGGATTGCAGTCTTGGTACTCCATTGCTGACCCCACGCAGGGCAAGCCACCATTTTTAGGTTCAGGGTTTGTGCATGTTCTCTTCCTGATCCTAAAGCCCAACTCACAGTCCCTGGAACAGGAAGACCAGGCCCCCCAGAAGGACCAGCCCCCATTGATAATCCGTGCAGAGGTCTTACCAGTCTTGAGAAGGTCATCAACAAGAGCTTCAAGGAAAACAAACAAGACACCACATGATCACTAATTAAGCAGTTGTTGGGCTTTTAAAAAGGACTTCAGCTCATGAATAGAATCAGGATTTATGTGCCCTGTGGAAGAGTTTCTGTTGAAAGCCCTTAACAAGAGTTTTGTTCCACAGGGTTACAGCTAAGCTAGATGCAAAATGAAATCTGTACACACACAGTCTACTGATAACCTTGATAAATGACCTTTCTGGGCAGTAAATTGTGGTAGTCAAGGCTGTGCCCTCAGGACGCTGCCTTGCCTCACAGCAGTAGTGAATGGGATAACCCCTCAGGCAGTGCACTAGGGGACCTCCAGAGAGAAAGAAGAGTAAAGAAAGACATGCTGTCCTGTAGAATGGCGCTTTTCTTCTCTACACCCTCATTACTTGCCTGTTCTCTTTGGGGCAGCTTGGCAGCAGCAAGAACAAATCTATACACTGCCATGAGCACAGAGCTCACAACTGTGAGTCACAGGGCTCTCTCCATCCCTGCCATTCTGCAGTGACACTAGTCATACATGTCGAGACTTATGCAGACAAAATCAGGTTCTTGCTGTTCTGAGAGGATCCCCCTTCCACCACCAAATCTAGGCTTGCCCTATGGTCCCCCAGAGCTGGAAAGACGTACAGTCAGTATCACACACTGCTGAGCCATCATTGGGGCAGAATCGACTCTCGGTTTTCTTCCTCCCAAACTGCAGCTCATGGGGATCGGACAGCTGGGCACGACATGTGTAGCGGAAGCGCTGCTCCTGGCGGGCACCATTCTGGGTGATGTTGACAGGCATCCAAGGGGTCCAGGGTGTGTTCCTGCGCACCTCCGGACAGCTCTCTGGGTTGCAGGTCTTATATTCCTGCCGAGAAGGACACACACTCTCTTTACATATTAAATGGCAGCAGTCTAACTGACAGAGATTTATTTACACCCCAGAAGATAGGAGAGTACTCTCTGCATCCAAAACAACTTCCAACCACCTTATCTGACCTCACAGACACAAGCCAGTACTGGGCACAGCACGAAATGTGGTGACTATGGAGGTGGTGATGGTGCATAGCTTCAGGTGGACCTCAAGGATGAACTATGCTTGCTATTTTTATGTATCCCTCAGGTTTGTGTTTCTTTGCTGACTCAAAGTCCTGTGGGGCTTTGAAAGCTTGGTGCATTATGGGAAGGAGAATAAATCAGGCAATAGATAATAATAACAGCAAACAAGTTTTCTGCTGTGACCCTGAGATGCTGCTCTGAGGGCAGCCTAGAGGAGCCCCATGAGGACAAAATGTCAGCAAGGTTTATTCTTTGAAAAGTTTATTGTTTTATTTTTAAGATGGGTTTAGATTATCTCTTCTAACAGCTATTTTTGTTTGTTTGGCTTTTTGAACTCTCTAGTGAGGACTATGAACCATTTGCCATCCTTGGTGTAGAGCATCCACTGAATACAGACAACACTCTGGCTGGATGGGGATGGGGTGATTTGGGGTCTTTGCAATTCTCGCCACTAGTGGGAGGAATTCCAGTGACAAACATTGCGTTCTTGTTTAAAAATAAATAAATAAACCGGTCTTTTCTGGCAGAAGGAAAGAAATGTAATGCTTCAGGACTTTATGATTCTAGAGTAAATGCCAAACAGCTTGTGAACAGATGGGAGGTTCCAGATCAAATCTGCTTACACTGAAAGAAAACTATCCATAAAACTAATTAAAACAGCTGCATGAAACAGCTGCCAGAATAGGAAAGGGAAAATAAAGAGAGAAAATGGGTAGCCGTTGCCTCACTGATGGGTTAACTAGGTGTTTGACCCGTTGTTTACTCAAGTATGACAGTGAGACTAATTTCTGATACATGTAGGGCCTCCTTGACTCAACAGGATCATCCTGTTGATCATGAGTAAAAAAAATGTATAGTGCTTTCAGGTAAAGGACTTGATATGTAAGCCTATGGAGGCCTAGAGGAAGTTCTTTATACACCAGTCTGTCCTTACCTGTGCGTGCACACACACACACACACACACTCTCTCTCTCTCACACCAGCTTCATTGATTTGGGGAATTTGCCACCTCTCTGCTTCCCAGATCATTTCAGCATCCTCTCCAGCGAAAGCTGAGGATGTAATTTCCTTTGAGCTTGAGAAATAAAACCAAGATGGAGAGAGGACTTAAATACCAAGTCCCTAGATGCCAATTGGTGCCCCTCAGGCAATGTCAATAAACAATACATACCACAGCACAGCCTGGACACGTATTTCCGTTTTCACAGGACCTCTGCCTTGAATGAATCCCTCCACCACAGTTCACACTACATTTATTCCAAGGACCCCATGAAGACCAAAAAATTGGTAATGGACATGGACTGTTCTCATTACAGAATCTGAAAGAAGAAAGCACATAGCTCAAAAAATATCCATGTCAGCACATCCCAGGGAGAAAATGATGATGGACACAAGTCTGTATGCTGCATTTGTGTGCAATTCATGCATGCTCAGAAAGCCAGAGGGCTGACACAACAGTCAGATTAGCAATATTCCTGTTCACAGCAGAGAACTGTACCCTTTGTACAGAATGGGGAGTGGTTAACCAGGCTGAGCTCACTGAGGCTGTTGGACTAAATGGTCAAGATCACATTTCTGAAAGTGCTCTAACCTCAAAAATTTCATGCACTAAATTCACAGAAGAGCTCATAAGCTGAAGTCCCCGTGTCACAAAGAGAGAGAGTGGATGGTAAATATTTTCAATGGAATGACTAATGAAAAATCAACACAACAGTGATCTGCTGCTAATGGCAGATGCTAAACACTTGACAATCTTCTCTTCTGAGATCTGGCCCTTACTGCCGCCTGGACCCTAAGAAACTAGCATTTGCAACGAGAGCTGAACTAGATGCTATATGCATCTAAAAACAGGCCCTAAATTAATGCTATTACATGTTCCCTTTTCAAAAGGTAAGTTTAATTTTGTTCAGCTTTTTTAATCAATATTGTTCTCAAATTGAATCACATAGGATGGCAATTGACTCAGATGTAGTTTTTAAAACCCAAAAAGGACCATTCAGAATGGCCACAAATCAAACCAAACATTAAAATGTCCTGAATCAAGGAAGTTAAATGAATTGCCCTTTGTATTCTGAGAAATGCAGAGAGATCTGTCTTAAGTGACCACTCAAGGGATAAGCAACAGCATACTGCCAAGCAGAGGTGGCCTTTAATGAAATGTCAAATTTGGAAACCAAATTGGGATGCCTTGAAGCACGTGTTTAATGAGGGGCTGGGCTTGAAGAAACATAATAGTGCAGATGGCACTGTAGGTTCAAAAAGTATTGTTTTTTAGTGATTTTGCATGAAATTTGCTTAGTTTAGAACGGAAAAATGATGGTTTTCTGATGCCAAGCCCTGCAAAAACTCAACCCTGAATCTCTGAGACAAGCTGTATTTTGTCTTGAACTTCTTTTGGTGCGTCAGCACAATTAATAGAGATTTAGGAATGGTGCAGCTGGCAATGGAAGCTGCACATATTCAACTGCCTCCTCAGGGATGGATCAGAACAGCGTAACTGTACCTATAAACTCTACGCTGCTAACAGCAGGCACAGCTTCTCCTTTCATTGAGGAGGTCAGCCCTTTGGGAGATGGAAATACTTGTGAAGGTCTGAAAGGTCCTGCCTGAGAGCAAAGGCAGCTCTGAAGTCTCTGATGGCCACAGGCTCACTGACAGAGAGTGGCCATGCATATGAACAACCTCATCTCTCCCAGGCTCTGCAATCCCTTCCGCTTTGTGCATTCAGCCAAACAGCCTTAATCTGCATTCATATAAGAGCCACCACTTCCAGCTGCCAACATTATTACCACAGAAGTGAACACATGGTGTAGTGGACATCTCTTACCTTTCTTCCCTGCTCTGTCCAACACAGACCCTGCCCCCGTACCGTGGAGCAGGGTTGCTGCAGGTTCGCTGGCGGACCTGAAAGCCAATCCCACAGGAGGTGCTGCACGGGGCCCAGGAAGACCAGGGTGTCCAAGCGCCATTTCTAACAAAGGAGATGAGAGAGAACAGAGTATGGAGGTTACTTAATGGTCTGTCAATGTCATGCTGTACTTAACAACAAAAAACCTAAAGCACCAACGGGGGAATCATTGAAGTCATTGGAGAAGAGATTATTCTTTGCAACCAGAGTATACATCAGCAGAGATCTAGACAAGGGAGTTTCAAAAGTGCTTGGCATTGGCCTAACTTTCCTCCCATGGAAGTGTCTAAGAATTGGAAAAGAAGACAATTAAGCCAATGCTGAAAGAATTTGAAAATGTGTCCTAGGATTGGCGGGGCAACAAGAGTGGTTGCTATAACTCTCACTGACTATCCCCGCATTATCACCTCCATGTCTTGTAACCCTCCTTTTCTGAGCCAATGGCTGAATCTAATGTTGTATCTCCTGGACTCTTCTGCACAAAAACATTTGTGAGGCTCAAGAACACCAGTTGTGCCAAAGGATTTAAAAAAACCTACCCTCCGCTAATTCAGTAGGTACCGATGCTTTAAATCTCTTACAGCAATACCAGTGCCAGCTCCCGTGGTTTTATCACAAACCTCATAATATTTAGTGTTTTCCTAAAGCCTTCAGCATTGAATCCTATTAAGCGGAAATCTCAAATTTCATTAAAAATAACAATAATTGCTTCTATCTTTCATGGCCGCCTGCAGACGTCACTGTAGTGTGACCTTAAATCTGTAGAAACCAGAAGGCAATTAAGAGCTCAGAGGCAGGATCGAGTTTCACGGTTTAATGACTGATCACATCTCTGCTGAGCAGTGGCAACTTAGCCTGAAGTAACGTGATGTAAAACCCCTTAGTTCACACCTCAGCGACAGAGATGTCTCTCTGTCTGCAAATGCTCTGTGCCTCACTCCTGCGACAGGCTGAGCACGTGCAGGCGGCCAGCTCCTGCGACGCTGCCGCCATGCGGTGACTCAACCGCGTGCTTACACCGAACCCAACATTTTTGTCTTGAAAATCTTGCATTTCTTAAAGCTCACCTGCCTCTGCTTTGGCAGCACTACTGAACTTTGGAGCAGGAGAGGAGGAACCGTACCTCATTTCTTCTGCGCTGCAGGTTTAATTTCATACGGAGCCAGTGGCAATGCTCTGTCTTACAGAACTGCCTAATCCTGGCACTTCACTGCCTTAAGCCAAAAAATCTCATTTGTTTTTGTTGGTGTTTTGTTGGGTTTTTTTAATAAAGAAAAACTTTTCTAAAAAGTCTAGTCAAAAAACAGCTCAGGTGCTCTCTGGTTCTTGAAAGCTAAGCTCAAAACCAGATGTTAATTTTCAAAGCATTTACTGAACTAATAACACTGCTGGCAAGAAATATTTTCTGGCATAGCACCAATCAGGGCAGAGGATGAAAGTTAAAACCCACATTGCCCTTCACACTTTTTCTATTTGTTATCAACTCTTGCCTGTTCTTGGCAGCTTTATTTCAGAACCCTGTTTCTCCTCTCCTCCTCTTGTTCTCTCATCCCTCTCCCTCCTTCCCTTCCCCTCTCCTGCCCCAAACAAGGTCAAAGGACAAGAAATTCACTTACATAAAAATCCTACTATTCCATCTTATTCTGCCATGTTTTAACTCACCTACTACCTCCACACTCCTTAACCCAAAAGAAAGATTATATGTAAAATCAGGAAAAGAAAAAACAAACAAATCGAAGGTTGCTGTTATTGCAGCAAAAAAGGGAAAGTAATTTCTACTAAAAATTCCTCAAAAACTCAACAATTCTCAGCATCTATTTATGTTTCAGGATTTTTAACAGAAATAAAGACACCTTCCATTTTCAGATCTCCAGCTTCCTAATAGAACTCATCTTTAAGCATCCTGCTCCCTCTTTGCAAAAAGAAATCTCAATGCCATATGAAGTCAATTAAAGGAAATTTGAGGGCTGAGGCGGATGCAGGATGACCAGATGTCCCTATTTTTCAAACCATGCTGTTTTCCTATGTCTTAAGATTGAATAATCTATTTTTCATCCCCTTCTTAGAAGCTGTTCCTGCCTCTTTTGCCATCAGAGCAGTGCTGAGAAACCCATCCCCCTGGCAGGCTTTCCATTTGCCACTGACACGGGCTCTGCTCAGCCCATGGCAGCAGTACAGGGGGAGGAACGACAGCACGCCTTTTGGGCAGCACAGCCCATGACTAGAAGGGGAGACGCCAATTACAACATGAGTATTGCTGAATTTTTGGTGCCAAGACCAGCACTGATCTCCAGGGAGGAGTCAAGAGACAGCTGTCCTTAATGGAATGAACGTTTATGGAGAAGATAAAGTAGATAAAAACTGTATCGACCCAATATTTACCAAAATATTGGCTGGTCCCACCCTTGTTAAGTAGTGCTTACACCATTGCATCATCTTTCCTCGAGTCATGACATGATGTAGTCTGAGGGTGGTGAGGTAACATAGACCCAAACACCCTGGCTATGTTCGGGCACCTGATCGGAGGACATTCGGCTTCCATACTGCTCAAGCATGAGCTTCAGGCTTCCTGGAAAGGCAGCACTTCAACACAAGCAGAGCTCCACGCGTTGTTTAAGTGCTGTCCCCGGCAGGCATGCCTCCTAAGCACTGCTCGCTGCCAGATGATCTGTTGTTTTCACCTAGCCAGCCTGTTGCAGACAGTTCACAGACTCGCAGAGCAAGGCAAACAAGCCTTGCTCAGAGGTAGGCTAGGCCCTGTCGTTACAAGCACTGCTCTGAAGGAGCTCTGCTTGTTTTTGGCAATGCAACCTTGGAATCCAAACTCTGAAAAATGATGAGCTTACTGGATTTTTTTTAGCTTATTGCTGTTCAGTTGGCTAACAACTACCTCTGCTTTGCCTGCCTCCTCCTGATGGGTCACTACTCGCTGTACAGTTGAGGGAAACTGAGGCACAGTGTAGGGAAGATTAATGTGTACACTAATTTGGGGTGCTCATCTTTCAAGAGTCCTGGCTGTAGTTCCTTCTTTCGGAGCCCTTGGGCTCCTTCATTTTTCACTGACTTCAAGCTGGACCTCACGTACCTCGGTTTGGCTGGGATACAACAACACGGTCACAGAAACACAAGGAAGGAGCTAAGGTGTGGTACAACTCTAGTTCTCTTCCTAAAATGCACAAAGATGTCGAGGTACCTTGAACAATTTGCGACCTCAATCCTGGCCCCTTCACAGCCGCGACCTCCGCAGCGAGGACGAGGGCTGTCACATGAACGTGACCTACACATACAGGAGCCTGTGCTGTCCCCATCCGAATGCTCACAAAGTTGCCATGGGGACCAAGGCCCCAATCTTCCATTTGTTGTCAGGTTTTTCACCTAATTTTGAAAGAAAAAAGGTCATTAACAGCAAGTTTACATTTCTGAAGACAGCCTCACAATAGAAATGCCAAACAAAGCTGCTGGCGGGATTAGGATGCAGCTTAGATGGGAGCTGTCTGTGCTTGCAAGGAGGATTCAAAACAGAGGTTTGTTTTCAGACAATGCTGCATCAATATTTACCCTCCAAATTCCACCCCGCATACCTAACATGTGCACACAGGCACCCAAGCCGACCCAGCCAGCACCACACCAGGCGCAAGCATCCATCTGCCACGCCACAAAACCACCGTGCTCCCTCGTCCCACACTGCACAGCTTCAGACTTTCAAGCAACACAACGGCCGGTGCCGATTGTCCCCACTTTATTATGCTCCTGCCTCCACAGTGCTTGGGACTGCTCCTGCAGAATATTTTCTGAGTTAGTGTTCACATAACCATAGTGACAAGCTGAGATCGGGGCCTCGCTGAGTTTGGCCGTGTCAAACGCAGTAAGAACTGGCTCCTTTTCTAAACAGAGCCATAGCATAAATGACTAAGCTGGGTGAAGGATAGAAAGTGAAGGAGATGGTGGTGACTAGAATTAATGCTGATGATCACATAATGGACTAAAGAGCAGGAATTCATCTCAAGGCAATTTATAGACCAGACCATGCTGCTATCTGTTTCCTCAGCCCTTTGCTTCATGCCTGTACAGTCCCGAACAGGCTGGTGCTTGAGCTTCCTGTGTGCTGTAATGAGGAAGTAAAAACACGGCAGTTCTAGCAGAGAAAAAGCATGAGAAACAGAACTCTTTCAGCCCAGGACTGGTGAAGACCTTGCAGAAGGTAGGGTGTCTGAGCTTGCTCTCCTGCACCTTGTTTTAAGCAGTGCTGTTAGGTGAGCCCTAAGCCGAGGGCAAGGGGACCAAGCTGCTAGGTGCCTCACAGCAAGGCTGACCTGAGAAGATGAGTGCTGCTTGCTCCTCCCGGGATCGCTCCCATTCCACTGCTGCCGCTGGCACCAGCTGTGATGGCAAAATCCAGCAACTCCAGGACCATGTCTGGGAGGCTGCCCTGAACACCCCTGCCCTGCCTTCCCCTCTGCTCCTGACTTCAGAAACACAAGGCAAAGACATCCAAGCTGGCCCTGCCTAGGCACAGCTATTTCCTTGCTACAGCACAGCACCATGATGTGCTTTCCCCTGGCAGCAACCTCTGTCTTCCCCACCTCGTGTCCCAAAGCTGCAGGTGGGGCAGCATCAACGGCAGAATCAACAGCAGCTGCCTGCAAGTGGCTGGTGTCACCCATGGGGTGGTGGGATGCTCAGCAGCTTTGGTAAAGCCACTGGCAAAGGCAATTCTGGATTTGGCCTTGGTGTCGCACACAACCAAGGGTGAAAAAAGAAAGAGGCTGGGGCTCTGGCGAACAGCCCTGACCCCAAATCTGAGCCAGCCACTGCTGAGAAACCCCACTGCACCATGCTTCACGGAGCTCTGCGGTCAGCAGAATCAGTCCCCTGGGCCGCCCCAGGGGGAAAATAATTTCTCCTGCTCTACAGACAAGGAAACCAAGGCATGGAGAGGCTGCAAGGCTGCTCAGGAGCCATGCAGGGAGTCAACCACAGCCATAAGAGTAGTGCTTTCAAATACTCATCCTCTGAAACATGCTGCTCTGTGCTTATTCTCCAAGTCTGGCACTATGTTAAACACTCACAATGCACCTCTGGTGGGCTGTCATCTTCCCCTCTCACCCATCTACAGCAGCATCAAAAATATGCAGCAGTGGCATGGAAGTAATTTAGATCTGTTACTGCACTCGTCAGCCCGTAGTTTGGGGGGTTTCAAGCATCTGTTGCAAACCTTTGTTTGCAGTAGATTATCATGTTGCTGTAAAAATTTGCTCTGGGCTGCAGGTTATAAGGCAAGATGCCCAGAGAAGAGAACACTGAGTTTCGTTGTTGTTGATTTTGTTGTTTTAAACACGCATGCAGTGAAAAATCAAAACAGTTGGGTTGCTAAAAGTCTGGGGGGAAAAAATCAAAAGAACTACTTTGAGATATCTAATACTAGATTTTTATCTCCTTTTTCCTCCTGCCTTACAAAAGTCATAATCCAAGTATTGGATCATTTCTATTCATTTTTGAGCCAGAAAGCCTTGCTGATTCCAGCAGGGAGTTCTGTTCAGAAATCAATGGTATGATATGGCCCGTGGCTTCAATCAGAAAAAAAAAGCTGACAAATAATTATTGGCTCATAAGTGATACTGGGAAGCAACCCAAAAATTAAACAAATAAGCAGCCATAACTGAAATGCTGAGATTTATAAACATGTCACATTGTGAATGTGGGAAGTTTTTATACTTAAGAAATTACATATGGATTATTATTCCATCTTTAAGTTCATAAAAATATCTTCAAAAGAGCAAACTTGGGAAGTGGGATAAAAACCCATACGCATTGATCTTTTTCAGGAATATCTTTATGAGGCAAATCCTTTGTAGCCAACACAGTGCCCATCAGACAGCGAGGACATCTTTAAAAACATCTGTGATCAAATGCCCTTCTCTCACCTGACCGTATTACCAGTTCCAGAGCTCTCCTGTTTTGTAACCTGCCCCACTCCCACCAAAGGCATCACCTTCTCATTTCTTCCTTGTACCATCTAAAGGCTCAAATTAGGCAGGATCTAAAAATTCAGACTGACAACTCCTACCCCTCGGTGCCAGGATATTTGCAATGTTTTTTCTGATATTACAGATAAGACTAGAAGCATTCCTTGTTCTTTTGATTCATCTGTGCTTCCTCTTAGGATTTAGATGTCAACTGCTTATAACTTTGCCAAACTTCAGTTATTTCAGCTGGAAGTTGCCATGCTGGCTGTCTGATAGAAACTGAAAATTCTTGCAAAGTTTCAGTCAAAATATTTCAAACATTTCTAAAAGCAAATCTAGGGAAAAAGTAGCAACCTTTTCCTTGAAACAAGCTGGTGTTCAGTGCAAGGAACTGAACTTTACATCATTGTGACATCTTTTTGCAATTTCCATGAAAAGTGATTCAGATCTGTCTAGGGTATAAAATTCTTGGGAGGTGGGGAGGATACTGCAGCTTACCAGTACCTGAAGGGGCCTACAGGAAAGATGGTGAGGGACTGTTTATCAGGGAGTGCAGTGACAGGACAAGGGGTAATGGGTTCCAGCTGAAGGAGGGTCGATTTAGATTAGATGTTAGAAAGAAATTCTTTACTGTTAGAGTGGTGAGGCACTGGAACAGGTTGCCCAGAGAGGTTGTGGATGCCCCATCCCTGGAAGTGTTTAAGACCAGGTTGGATGAGGCTTTGGGCAACATGGTCTAGTGGAGGGTGTCCCTGCCCATAGCAGGGGGGGTTGGAACTAGATGATCTTTAAGGTCCCTTTCAACCCAAACCATTCTAAAATTTGCAGTTTTCATAGATTTTGATCTTGGCACCTGCAGTCCTCTCGGTGTACTGGGCACGCTCCAGTGTGGGTTGGAGCAGGATTATCCCAGACACTGCAGCTCTGAGTGGCTGAGCCCACATGAATTGAGAGCAAGGTACAAGTCCACTAGACACCCCAAAAAAGGAGTGGGGAGACTGGCACTGCTTGGCAAGAAAATGGGGTATCATGGAGCAAATGCCAGATGACTGAGATAGGGGGTTGCTGGACACACAGAGCAACCTGTGATGAAGGGATGAAAACCTGTGAGGAAGAGCATCATTTGGCTCAGGATAAGGAGGACTGTACACTTTACTGGGAATACTCAATTCCTGATTTGCCAACCACCATCAACAGTGACCCCATGAGCTTGGCTAATGGAGTTTGTTAGCCAAATCTAAAGTTCCTTTCCTGCTGGTGGCTCATGTTGGCACCAGTAAGATATTATAAAGTAGGATGTGTTTTTTTTCCAGTTTTCCTGAGACCAAAAAGCACCCCACTCCCTTCTCCCAGTGTAAGAAGAAACAGCATGCAGTCATGTATTCGAGACTCCCTGTTACGACACATGCACGTAGAAGGGAAAGAAGAGCAGCATGTGCAATTTGTGTCCTATAATTTCTTAACATTAAAATGCTTGACATTGCAACCATAGCAACAAACCTTTAGGAGGTTCTGGGTGTTACCTGCTAATAACGTACATTAACCATTGCCCAAGGTACTATGTTAACACTATGATTAACCCTCTGTCTAAGGTCCCTTAATATTAAAGCTGGGCAGTGGGAATCTGTGGTACAATGTGGCGCTGTACAAAAATGTTCAGACTAGCTCTGAACAAGCATGTTTGCACAAGAGCAGCAGTCAAGTTGTGTTAGTGTTGTGGTTGACTCACACAAATCCCTGGCCCCTGTAGGATATAATTCAATAATATGCCAGTTCTGGCTTCAAAAGTTGCTGCGTGCCAGTCTCTCAGCTGTGCCAGGACATCTGTTTGTGGGCTAGGCTGCAGAAGAACTCACTGACATTATCTGCGTTAGGAAAGGTTTATTTGGGAGGGATTCTTTTAATCTACGCCATGTCACACTTGAGAGTGATCTCACATACAGCTGTACCAGCACAGCTGAGCGCCTGATGCTCAGCCCAGGAAAGTGAGGTGAGAAAAGTCAGGACTTCTTAAGACAGTAACTCATCCAGCTAAACTCCTAGACAGGCCTTTTTCAACAGTGAATTTGACACTGGGTCACTGTATTTCCCTACCTTTGCAGTGGTCATTTATACATGCTGCCTGCCTCTGCTGACCACGACCTTTATCCTGCACTGAACACAAGGAAATACTTGGATACTGCTGATGTAGGTGCTTAAATGAGCCATCCCACTCCATGCCAGAGGTGAATTCATTCCAGCGAGGGGCAGAGGAGAAAGAAAAAAAACGCACTTGCATATGGATTTTAAACAGCTTGGCAGCCCATCAGTCAAAAAGCACAAGGCTGATGTATGCACCAGAATGAAAGCACCAAAACAGAAAATCATCTACAATGGAAATGCTAAAACAAACGTAAAACTAGCACCCCAAGAACAGCCAAAGCTCCTCAATATTCTGCGTTGGATTTTTATGACCTTGAAACAATGATCTGGAGTAGCCTGTTCCCTAGTGTGCACCACAGCAGACATGTTCAAACTAGAGGATTAACACCTCACGCACCTATCAACAGACACAGGCATTAAGCAGGACGAGATAACAGCATGGGCAATCAAGAAGCACTGCATCCCAGTTCAACACAGGAGGGTTATAAACACACAAGCCTCTGAATCCAGCAGTGAAAAACTTAAGCCTGCCAAGCTCAGGATGGATTGAAGTAATGACTAATATTTCCTGGGAAAATATCTGAGAAGTAAGGAAGATAAGGGGAATAAACATCCCAGCACCTCCAGACAGAAATAGCATACTGAAGATATAACTCATCCAGTCCTCTCTCTCTATCTACTGGATTTAGCCGTATTAACATGCTAATTGACATTAGATAATAATGATGGACATTAATGAGAATTTCTCCTTCCCTCCCCCACTACAATTTATTTAATAAGATCGGTTTTCCTCCCCAATCACCTCACAGGTACAGTTCAAGCAGCAGG